GTGTGTGTAGTGTGTGTGTGTGTGTGTGTGTGTTGTGTGTGTGTGTGTGTGTGTGTGTGTGTGTGTGTGTGTGTGTGTGTCTAAAAATTTCTTTTTTTTGAAGAAAATAATTTAAACATGATATAAGATATTTTATTAAAACAATATTGAAAATATTTAGCGAAACAAGCACTATTAAAAAAAATGTTTACTAATGCAAAGCAATAGCACATGTAGATCTTGTTACTTTGTTACATCCTACAGTAACGAGTATGAATTACGTGCGTTTATGCAACAGTCTACTCGATATCGAGAATAGGGGAACAATCTTTACGCTAATATTAAACTTGAATACGAGCTTATGCAATGGAGTATGGCTACACTGATCTTCTGTGCAGGCAACGTTTTCCACTAAAGAATAACTATTACTTATCCGCTTTCCTTGTCTCTTATATATACATATAAATATTTTATGAGAAGAAATTAGTTTAATTTATAAGAGTTTCTTTACTTTAATGCTGATTCAAGATATCTAGTATTTAGTCTATATCAAGTATTGTAAAATTTTTATTTAATTATTTTTTAGAATTATAAATATATTATAAAACGTAATTTATGTTAATATATTATATTATACATATATTATATTAATTTTATATTATGTGATTTTATATCATTTTGTGAGTTTGTCCGTTATTATATTATAGAAGAATTAAAAAATTTCAGATCAGTTCATTTAGTTCAGTTTATTTAAAATTGACTTTCTCGGTAGAAATATTAAAATCAGTTATCGCAACATATTCCTCAATTTTTAACATTATATATTTCTATAATTAAGTTTATAAAACTTAAATTCCACTGAACTTTAACTGAAAAACTAAAGCTAAAATTGTTTCTATTATATAAATATGTTTTTATTATTATAAATATGTTTCTATTATTTTGCTTTCTATTACATTGCTTTCTTTAAAAGCTTCAAAGCTTTCCTTTTTATTGCTTATAACTTGATAGTAATTAGTGTTTCAGTAATTAGTGTTACTTTAAAACTTACTTTGGAAAATTTAAAATTAGGATTTAAAATTAGATAAAGAACTTGTCATTAAAAAGACATCAACTTTCTTGTAATGTTATGAATATGACCTTTCTATTAATATTTAATATCCAACTTATTTTTAAAAATATATATATATATATATATAAAAATATATATATCATATAATGTTTTGCAGACTTTTCTCTGTTCTCTCATTTGCATAAATATATTGATATTTTATAACATTTTATAACATTTAATACGTAGTAAAATATGGATATAAAATGAATGTAAGTACATCAATATAAGGATCGATTTATCATTGAAATATTAATAAATTTAATTAATAAATCAATTAATAGATTATTAAGTATTACGATAGAAATAAAATATATGTATATTCATTGTATTTTTAATTTTTTCATTATTAATAAATGCAAAATTTGCTCATTTATTATTTATTCTATTTTTTATCTTAATCTATTTATTTCTTTATTATATTTTTTATACTATGTGATGTTTACTGTGCGCGCACTAATATTTTTATAATAATTTCTTTATAATATTTAATATTTTTTAAATATAGAAAACAAATTATTAATTCACTTCCTTATGATGATGTCAAAAACGGAACATTCCATTAGTAAATAAATTATTATTTAATTAGAAAATAAAAACAGAATTTATAATAGAGTTCAAACATATTGAATTCTAAATATATAATAAAAATTTTAAATTGTTCCATGAACACAAATATTTTTGAATGTCTTGAACATTTCGAAAATTTTGAAAGTCCTTTGAATATTTCAAAATAATATTGTTTCACTTTGTTATTATTAAAATCGTTTATTTTTAATTTTTATTCTTTTACACAGACTTACTATAACAATTTACTATAACAATTTTTATATTTGAAAATTTGAAACGTTTTAAATATTCACAAAATACACACACACACACACACACACACACACACACACGCACACACACACACACCACACACACACACACACACACACA